TTCAATTAAAATTGAATTTTAATCCGGTGCAAACATGCTCTAATTATTATTTGTCTCAGAAAATTTAGGGAGTTGGAGTGTCTAATGGACCTTTAATTATTTGGTTTCGGCAATGTTTCTGGCACTTTCCGGTTTGATTTAGCTGGGTAGGTTACAAAATTCTGTCAAATCTGATGACATAGAACTGCGTGCAAATATTTGTTAAGTTAGCTGATGAACTAGTTTGTTTTTATGGATTGACTGTGATAAAATTGGGCATTTATTGCTATTCTTTGTTTCCATCTTCATAATTTGTGTTCTTTCTGTGTCGGTAAATGGTTCTGTCAACCCTCCCCCCCTGCGAAACCCCCAGGCGCCAACAAACAAGCACAAATGGAAAGTTTCCTTTAATGATTGTTGTATATTCCTGTTTCCATTCCCATCAGAGACAGATCATTATCTGCTCATGCACCCCGAGAATATGCTCGTCTGTCCACATCGTATGTAGTTAATTCTAAATGGTTGCTCATTTAGTTTCTTTTAATTTCCCATTATTTAAAAGGAAACACCTCGATTTGCCTGATTGAATTACTTATGGTTTATTCAAGTGCATAATATACCTGTATAATATAGATAGTAAGACACTTTCATTTGCAAAACATGGTTTGGATTGGCAGTTCTTTTGGTAATGTATTATATTTGATATGCATTATTTCCTCAGGAAACCCGAATCCCCGAGAGCAAGGTCAAGGCAGAACGTAAATGAAGTAAAAGATGGTACTCCAAAAAAGCAAAAGCAGTGTAACTGCAAACACTCACGATGTTTAAAGTTGTAAGTAGTTACACCTTTTCGTGCATTTTACTTGTAAAATTCATATATTTTGCATCTTAATCAACAGCAAATACAATAGTGAAAGAGTAAACAAATTGAAGAAAGAGTACAATGGCAGTTAGTTTTACTACACAGGAAAATATCAATATATAATCTCTTTCTTTCACAAGCCTTTCCTTTTCTTTTCCTCCCTTGATTTGTTGTTATTTTCTTTTGTTTCGGGTGGGTAAGGGGAGAGGAGAAGGAATGACCTCTTCAAATATAGTAGTGCTTGCAGGAGTTGGCTACTTTTTTGCGTTCAAACTATTAGGAGTGAGATTCAATAACTGTCATTTTACTGTGCAATTTATTCCAACATTTTATTGGCTAAAGTCTGGAAACAGAGTTTCCTGAATCAGATCTCTCAACTCGCTATTAGTTACATGTAGATTTAATTACTACCATTATTTTACGCAGTTGTGATATATAGGAGATATTGTACAATTATAATATGTTTTGAGTGATATTGTTAGTTTATAAATGTTTTGACTTATTGAAGGATCAATTTAGAGATCTTAATCTAGGTTTATAACATTACGAAGACATAATCAGCTCTGCCAATTTATTCACTGAGGCTAAATTACATCTTTTACTTAGCAACTTTTGTGTGTGAAAACATTTCAGATATATATGCCACATATTACATAAACAAATGGCAGGAGGCAACTTATGTGAATGTTTATAAATTGACCGTATCTATTTAGGGAGACACGTGCGAATGAGAAAAGT